CCCGTACAATATAACAAAATATACGCAATGCAGCTAATGCTTTTGGAATATTGCAACGCAAATGCTTAAATAAGCGATCCATGTTATACATGTTATATGTATATGTAAGACCATCGTTAAATTTAAAGGAATAGAGGATACAATTCTTAGTGAAACAAGCATGGTGAAATATTTATTCCCTTGAAACTATTAGTTTTGGTGTTAACCTTCATAAGAAAACTATTATATTCTCGAACTTAATTATTTTATAGTCACACTTTTATAATGAAATACAAATAAAGAAAAAAATTATTTTAAAGAATTGTCTAGTAAATATGAGTTGCAGAATACAGGTATTAATTTAAGCTCCCTTTTCTGGTCAAATCGTGAACATGCACTAGTACATGTATTACAATAAGGTTCTCTTTAAACATGTTAAACATGTTAAAGTGAGATGTGCAATATTACTCAGGGAACTCAAGAATGGTTCTGGCTTGATTAGAAAAGCAAAGAAAGCACTAAGCTGAAATGAATTTAAGACTGTCTCTGCATCACTCTTCTAAGACATAATTTCCGCCTTACATTCCTGCTGGACATGTCGTAACAAGTGAAACTGATGTTGTTAATTTAGGTCAAAATGAAAACTTTGAAGTTTTTGTTTCTGTTTCAGTTTTGTTTTTCTTAATTCTCTTTTCTTAATTATACGGAAGAGTACGCCAAGATTTGGGCTAAATAGGAAATGGAAAATCTAAAAACTTCGTCAGAATTGATTAAATGTTAGAATCGTATTATAAATTCAAAGGCAAAATACGAGATTTCTCCGTTTTCACTTAATCAGAGGTGAAAAAAAGTGACCAAAAAATCAATTTTTATTATTTCATCATTTTATAAAATAAAATATCAACAAAGATGCAAAAAAAGATTTATTTTTATTTCTAAGCAATATCAATATAGTTTGAATTGGTCGCTAAATATAACCTGGTGGTAGCAAGGGTGCTTGATTCTTGATCGGATTAGGTTTTACATATCGAGATACTATGTCACTGCAGGAGTTGGCTTAATGAACAAAATCCCTCAATGATACGACCGGTCAGAAAGGGATGCTCACTTCTCGATGACACCTGATCCCACCTCTGATGTTTTGGAGGTCCGAGTTTGCTCTGCCCCTTTTTTGTATTGTTTTATGCTCGAACTTAAATAATTTATAGTCACATTATGATTTTTATAATGAAATACAAATATAGTAAAATTTATTTTAAAGAATTATATAGTATACATGTATGTGAGTTGCAGAATACGGGTATCAATTTAAGCTCCCTTTTCTGGAGTCAATCTTGAACACTAGAGTTACAATAATTAAGGTTCTCTTTAAAGTGAAATGTGCAATATCACTCAAGAACGGTTCAGGCTTGATTACAAAAGCAAAGAAAGCTCACAACTGAAGTGAATTTAAGACTGTCTCTGCTTTACTCTTCTGAGACATAATTTCCGCCTTACAATCCTGCTGGACATGTCGTAACTAGTTGAACTGATGTTGTTAATTTAGGTCAAAATGAAGACTTGAAAGTTTTTTTTCTTTTTTTTTTCTTTTTTTTATACGAATAATATGAAAGATTACGCCAATCGTAGGGCTAAATATGAAAAGAAAAAATCTGAAAACTGAATGAATTAAATGTTAGAATCGTATTATAAATTCAAAGGCAAAATGCGAGGTTTCTCCGTTTTCACTTGATTGGAGGTGAAAAAGGGTGATAAAAACAGTCTATTTCTTTTAGAATCTCATCATTTTTTAAAATAAAATATTAATAAAGATGCAAACACGCCACTAAAAGTGTTTATTTCTACAGCAATTTCAATATAGCTAGAATTTGTGGCTATATTTAACCTACTGGTAGCAAAGGCTCTTGATTATTGATTGTATTACGTTTTATATATCGAGATACTATGCCATAGCAGGAGTTGGCTTAATGAACAAAATCTTTCCATGCTACAACCGGTCAGCAGGGGATGCTCACTGTTCCATGACACCTGATCCCACCTCTGATGTTTTGGATGTCCGAGTTTGCTCTTCTCCAATTTTGTATTGTTTTATGGACTTTTGATTTTGAATCTTGTTTTCTCCATATCTTTCATGATATATCAAAATGTGTGGCATTCCACAAGAAGAACATTACAATAATTTGGAAAGGGGCGTTAAACAATATACAAAATATAATCATCTATCGTGCGCTTTCTCTTTTTCTTGCTTATTATGGGATGACCTAATTGCTATAGTTGGATTCTAACTACATCCTATGCTTTCAGGATTCACAATTACCCAATTAAACAATAGTTGTGTTTACTGTGTCAGCTTGTATTGATATAAAGATTACCCTCTGTTTATCTCCAACATGGACCTAATCAATTTTTCATTGATTAACTTTGTAGAATTACTAGGAAAGAAAGAAGACATCTTTTTCATCATGGGGAAATTAATGAATGTTATGACCAATTTGATCATAAAATTACACTGCCTGCTTCAATTTATTGTTAGATCAGTGAAATTCGATAGATATCATGTTTTTATTTCTGAGGTTTACCATTAAAGAGAACATGCTATGAATATCTTAAAGTATGAAATAGACAAAAACCTTACATGATTGTACATAACTCACCAGCCTTTAAGTTAAGATTTCCGCTGTTTAAATTTGGACTAGAACTTTGGTCAGGTAATTACGTACCTGGTATCTCAGAGATGGACATTTGTGATTTCTCATCTACTCCTTACACTTATTGACCGCGTAGGATTATACATGAAGTATAATACTAGGCGTGGTCAGATAAAATACGTTTCCAAATGAAAGTTAAGTATAGTACATGTAGCAGCATATATGTGATTTCAAGCTTTCTGATTGTCTGTAGTATCCTGGTATGGCCACACGTGGCCGCAATTGATTTAACAGTAATATGAAATATATTAAAATACCGAAAAGTATTCAAGCTCAAAAATTCATTTAAACAATACGAAAGAGGACCAGAGCAAACACAGACCTCCAAAACAAAAATCAGAGGTGGGATCAAATCATATGCAGAACCACTAAAAGGGTTGAATTCCCAGAATGATTAAAAGTTTACTCTAGCCGCCACTAAATGTAGATGTTGGGGATGGGGGCAGTCAAGTTGGCAGAAAATTCTATATATACCCGGTACATGTAGCATGTACAGTACAACTTAGTAGGAAATGAGACGTAAAATTTAATACATGTATGTTTTCATTACGGAATATATGATGTGCTCTCTCTCTCTTTCTCTCTTTGGGGGTACACCACGGGGAGGGATAGCCAGTTGAACAACTTTGAGGATAACACAGTTTTGTCCATCAGATTAATCTTCCCCAGCAAGCAATTCGTTGTCTGGATGATTTAGTTCTATTTTATGTAACCTGATTCATTGGACAAGACATGTCAATTAAAGGGCTGTGTATTGGACTCAGAAACTCTTTGCAAAAACTCTGACATTTGGAAGTGTTCTGTCGCGCTGGATATAATCAGAGATAAGATAAGATCAGATCCTCTTTGTGATGGTAATATTGCAAATAAAGATTCTGCGGGCAAAGCAGCAATTTTAATGTTCAATTGTTAAATTAATGAATAATTGTTGACAGTTGGTCGAATGTGAGCAAACGATTTAAGCTCTGAAACTTTTGAATTGAAAAGGGCTGGTTTTTTTTTTTATGAAATCATTGGATTTCACAATCAAAAGTGATTCTGTTAATTGGATACGTCATGTCCAGAGATCAGAAGTTAGCAAGAGTGTATACTGATTCTAATGAAGTTATAATTTAATAACTAATAATCTAGAACCAAGAAGGAAAAGGAAGGGTCAGTTGTTTGTCATTCTATCGCATTATCAACTTCCCTTGTGTAACAATATGTATACAACAATATAATCCTAACACTTGCATAAGAGTTGTAAGTCTCTTTCTTGATTCGATACACAAGAATATGTTCTTTGTATGAACAATTTCTAAAACATGGCAATTTTTATGAAATAAGTTGATAAAACAAGGATATCAGCAGTCTTGTTTGAAGTCTCATCTCGCAAGTTTTTGGTCGATACAACGATCTTGTCTGCGAAAACAACTTAAAGTATCATTCAGTCAAAAGCTTTCTGGCGTTTTTCATACTTATTGTCACGTCATTCATTACACACTGAATTGTCGACGTTTTTTTTTAAACAATTCTGACAAGGAGCACACAGCAGTTGTGACCAGTCGGCAGGGAATGATCATTCCTCCTTGTCTGTTGACCACATGTCTTATGTTTTAGAGTCCATGTTTTCTCTGCTCCATTGCATTGTTTAAACGAACTTTTGGGCTTTATTACTTTTCCTATCCCTAATTTTGTTGTGTATACACATGTATAAATCGTGACTTTTAATTAAAATTCGAATAGGTATACAAATTCAGTGGATTCATTTTAAATGATAATGCAAATATAATTATGGGAGAAAAATAGTTGAAAACGGGTATTTTTCTTGTATTTTTTCACACAGAAAAACACTTCAGATAAGTCTAGGGTTCCTATCTCCTCCTTAATAGTCAAAGAGGGAGTAGATCAGAAGCATTGGCTACGAAAGGTTTTTTGAAAAACTTTTCTTTAGCTGAAGATGGTATGTTGTTTCCGGATTTATTTTTAACGAAAAAAATGTCTCCTGCTCAGAAAGAGCCCTATACATTACACAATTCATGAAGTAAAAAAATAAGGGATTTTTTTCGGTTCAATCTTATTTCAAACATAAACCACAAAGATGTAATGATCAGGGGTGGAAAGATTTTATTATTTCTTCTTTTCATAAGCCTTATGGTAGGGCAACTCGTTATTGAGCGACACGTCCAAAAAGCACAGCAGCTGTTGCATTGACCGCTCAATATACAGTGTAACGTGGCGGGCAACATCATTCTAGTGATCTGGTCCTCGAATCTGACAAACAAATCATTGATTGAACATTAAAGAAAATGATTGAGAACCAGTTAATACATCATGGGAACTTATCATACACGCCTCGGGAGTGTTCCTCTGGTTTTCTTGTTTATAACGTTCGCAATAATTTCCGATGGGAATGTCAGTGGTGCCTCGTTGATATTCGAATTGCCTGACAAAGAAAACTATTGTTTTTCTGAAGACTTTGATGGAATAACGGTAGGAAAACGGTTCAAATTTCAATATAAAGTTATAAGAGGAGGAAATAATGATGTGGATGCCAAAGTTATCTCCCCTAATGGATTAGTTTTGTTCAGGGAATCTAAGAATCACGAGGGAGAGTTCGTCTTTGATGCTTCCAGAGGGGAATTCAGATTCTGCTTTGGAAATGAGTTTTCAACTTTTACTCATAAGATTGTATACTTTGAGTTGAGAAACATGGAAATTTCTAACCTCGCTGTTGAAGCAGGAGACAAAATCCCCACCGTGAAAACTTCCGCTGAAGCCTCTTGTGACGTCATTCACGAGCGGATGTCGTCTGTAGTGAGCTATCAACGAGAGTATCGTTTGAAGGAAGCTATGGGGCGCCATGTGGCAGAGAATATTAATAAAGGGGTCTCGTGGTGGTCCGTGGGACAAACGTTTTTCATTTTACTGGCCGGTGTGGGGCAAGTCCTTCTGCTCAAGACTTTCTTTACAGAAAAATCGCCAATAAAGCAGGACGCTTGATTACGACCAGACACTTATGTAATGACTACTTAAATTTATCATATATCAGTACTTATTGCTTGATTTTTATTATACTTCAATTCAATCAATGCCTAATTGTTCAATGAAATGTTTTCGTATTTTACATTGATGTCAAACCATGGCAGATACCTTATACCAATATCATTTCTATTGCATAAACAATATTACTTGTGGTATGTTTTACCTTTTTTAAATTCGCTTGTAACATTTTATCATGATGAACTCTTGATATTCATGTACCAACAACTACTGGCGGTAGGTCTACATTATAAATCTACATGTAGAATGGACTCGAGATGTATATATACTTATCTTAAAACCAATGGGCTTGCTCCAGGCGTGTAATAATTATTTATTTTAAAAAATCATATGGATCTACGGTAAAAACTGATTTTAAAAATACACACTTTTAGTATTACCATATATCATTTTTAAAAATAAATAATTACACACACCGCGAACAAGCCCCTGTGTTTAAACTAATTCAGGAGATAACCTTTTCATTTGGGAGGGGGTAAAAAGTATTTAAAACAAATAATCTTAGTTTCACTGTGTTACTATATTACCCTTCCCCTCCCTCCGCAAAATACAGACTTGTGGACTTTGGACATTTTATACCTCCTTTATGCTTGTCAAATTTTGTTCAAGTGAAGAATACAAAAATATCTGTCTCTGAACATCTTTCAAATAAATAAACAAAAAATTGTCAACCACTACCCCTTTGAAAATATATAATCTGACACACACATACAAAAAAAAAAACGCCAAATCCCATTCCCTTTCAGAATAAAATGGCTGTCCCCTGCGATGTGTTCATAGCTTGTTGATTTTTTTTACAAGCTATAGCATGTATGGTGTCAGCTGTTTGAGGGTACTGTACAGCTTTTTGTTGATATGTTGTAAAGTGGATATGTTCATCTCCATTATAATGGTCTCACATCTTTGAGAATAGATGTTAAATTTTACAAACATTATGTAATTTATTCATGTGTATATGCATATGTAAATGCATTCCAAAATCTTGAAAATTTTGATTTAAAGTGACAAAAAAGTTGTTTAAATTAAAAGTGGTTGCAAAAAAATAGAATGTTGAACATCATAGAAATTAAGTTTACAATTTTTCAATATTTTACAAAAATATTCGCATGATTTACAACCAAAATATGTCCAAAATGAAATACTGTACCAATTAATCGATAAATACATGTTTGTATCATATCTGTCTCTGAGACAAAAAGTTTGATATTCTTCTATCTAATTTGTACTGTAAATAAAATCGTTCATATCTTAAAGAGTACAACAATATACAGAGGTGTGTGGTCACTATTGCTAGACTAAGTGTTATGTCACTAAGCCACTCTAACTATTCAAAGAAATAATAACTGGTCTGGATTATACTTCAAGTATTTCATATTGTCCAACCTTGACTGTTAATTCTCTTAAAGCATGGATATTTAAATGTAATCCTTTCACAAAAAATAAAGTCTAAGATCTAAAACATTAAATTTAAAAAGGAGTAAATATTACAGTATTAAATTGCTCTTTACTCAGGAATATTAAGAGGGAGGGGAGTGTGTGAGGGAGGGTGTGTGTGTGTGTGTGTGTGTGTGTGTGTGTGTGTGTGTAGAGGGGGGGGGGTCGATGAATTTTACCTCAGTATAAAATCTTATATAAATTAAAAAAACAATTAAGTTTTTCTGATTTTAATCAAGGGAAAATAACAGGTACATTGAGCTACATGTATAATTAAACAAAAAACAATTTTCACTTCAAACAACAATATGTATAAATAATTATAATACTTCTGACGGCTAACACCTCAACATATTGACCAATTCGTTGTCTCTGTCTTATCTCTACTACAAAGTCTACTTAATATATCCCTATCTCTAAATAAACTCCACTGCAAAATCTGAGCAAGTAACAAATATAGAATTTAATCTACAAAGATTAAAAAGGTATAAATATGTATATTTTAAAAATTAAAAAACACACAAAATGACAACATAAAGCACCATGAGACAAATATGTGCACTTAATGAATGTGATCAACAAATGTACAGATTCTAAATAATTAATTAATACTGATCAAATATATCATAACTTTAATTAAAGTCTCCCACTTTCCTGTTAAGTGTTTCATTAAAAAAAATGTCAATATCACATATATTATGCTTGAATGGCATACACAGGATAAAAAAAACAAACATCAAGAAGAAAAAGGGAATGACAAACTGTTTCTGGTATTAATACTGGTATCACTCACTGAATGGGAATTCCTTTGGAATGAACAGGAAAGATAACTCTTCCATAATCAGTGTAACTTGAATAGCTTGTTGGTGGTGTGCATTTCATCAACATACCTAAAACAGAACATTGAAAATTAATGACCTTTTATCAGCTAACTGCAAATTCTTTTTTTTCCTACTTTAGGTGTACAGTAACAATAAGATTGATGTATTAACCTATAAGAGTAGCTTGAATGAGGTATCATAAGGTTTCTACTAAAAAATCTTTCCAGCTGATGTATTTTTCAAGTTAATTTCTACATTTCTTATATGTATTAAATTGATATTTATTTATTGTTTAAGTTTTGTTTTCTTGTTGTTTTTTTTTTATCAACTCTTTATTTCTTAAAAAAACATTATAACATTATTTATTCAAATCAATGAATTTAGCAATTTTTTTTACTAAAACCTGAGAGACTGTGAAATTATCTTCCATTCCTAATTTTTATGCCTGGCCATCTGACTATATTCAACAAGGAGAGACAACCCTTAAGTGTTAAACAGATCTGTTATTGATCAGCGCTTGTCTACCATTTTTCTCTATGATCTCTGTGCACAAAATTCTTGCTTTCATTTTTAAAAAATTACCGGGAAATACATTTCAACCTCTGTTTAAAAAATATTTCACCCTATATAAAAAAAATTAAAGAACAACCACTACTAGCAAAAACAAAATTTTAGTAGAGGAGGAGTATTTTCTCAATATTTATTTTTTTTTTTTAATAAAACTTCTGTCATTTCTTGATTACTTTTTTTCTGACAGAAAACCAGATCTTAAAACTTTCTGAACATTAACAGGCTACAAATTTTTGTTCTGATGTTTTATGTGACTTTGTCAGCTGAGATGTCTTGTGTATATGATGATGACTGTATGTTAATCCACATGTACTCAATGTATATATAACTGTATACTGTTACATAAACTTTAGGGGGAAGGAGGAGATAGAAAAGGGATGGGTAAACACATACCATATTTCAAGAACAAAAATTTTAATTATGATCGAGTGTGGTATTTTTGGTTCATGCTTAAAGTGTTTTTAAAAATGTTTAAAAATTAATTTCTATTCATTACAAGTATATTATTTGTTTTCTATGCCCCGAAAAAAAAATAACTCTCTTTGATTTTTTTCTTTTTACAACAAACCAGATACTAAGTTACACTAACAATAAAATGTCATGTTTCTATCAAAATATAAATCTTCATTGTCATACACTAACACACCCTATCAGACTTGGTCTGACTGAAATATCTGACATTTTCCAGGCTTTTTCACGATTTAAATATTTTACCTGTCAGACTTTGACACAATTTAAACTTCAGTATTCAGAAAATATTTGAAATTATTGATAAAAGTTTCGTTGAAGTGCTACCTACTGAAAAATTTACAGATGACAGATCTAAAGATATTTAAGCAAGTCCCGTACAATCAATAATCTACAATGTGTGTCAGGTATTTAAACTGATTGTCAATATATAAACACCCTTTTTAACTTAAATGTCTTATTTCATCTGTTGTAAAGAAAAAGATCTATACAATGTCTGTTTGAATGAACAAACAGTTAAGAGGATTTGTATCACAGGTTAACAAATTCAGACACAAAAGACTGATAGCATTGATAAGTATGGGTTTATGTTTATATGAAGGTGTATGTGTGAACACGGCCATCATTGTTTTGACAGTTATAACAAGATGATTTAGTTATTCAAACTGCATATATATAATACCATAGTCCACTTTTTTAAAAAATGTATCTTTCATTATTTTTTAATTTTGTGTGTGATTGTGTATAGGTGTATAGCTAGACCTAGGGTTGTATATTTTTTATACACAGTATGTAAAAAGGACACTTACCTCCCCATCGGGCTGTTAATAATGGGAAACCTTTTGGGGGGTCGGTCAGCATACGCTATGGGCATTTCACTCCCCGTGCCCCAGTTTTGCGGTTCAAAGGCCACCAGGTATCCCCTGGAAGGAAGCATCTGCCTAAGTGTTGAATACTCCTCACACCGCGTGCTAGGATGAGACTTAAATATAGCGTTCCCGGGACCACGATCAAAAGTTCTCAGGGGCGGGTCTGTGACGGGAATCCAGTGGTGCTCCGCGGACGGAAGTTGTTTTGGCGCCAGAAGCTTATGTCGTGGGACAGGCGCCGTGGACCTGAGATCTGTGGGGATGTAGCGTTTGGTGACCCAGACAGTTTCTGTCGGCTGGTTTCTCGCGAGCGCTGCCTCTCTTTCCTGTAGATATTTACTGTAAGCGTGTTTGTAGGCGCCAAAGGCGCCCATACTGAGGGCCGTCATCTTGAAGCGTCGTGTTACCAAGCCTGTTGTCAACAAGATCAATGTCAATCCGATTTACACGCACGCTTTAAACTAAACTTAAAACTGGTAACGGTTATGAAATCCGGATTTGAATTCATGGAATATTTAATGTTAACAAAAATAAAGCAATCTAATGAAGTATCGATGCAACTTTGCTAAGAAAAACTTTACTGGAAAACATTTACACATCAAGTTCTGTAAAATTATATTAGTTTGAATAGGAAAGGTTATTTTTAATCTGACTTTAAGGGTTAAACGTAGTGTAACGGTCTTTAATTATTTCATTATGTTTGTTACCGGCCGCCAGTAGGCGGTCGGTTAGTTGATATGAAAGTTTTAAGTCGCCGTGCGTTTCTGCAGAGTTAGAA